CTAAGAACAACAATAATAATGATAATATTAAATAATAAATAATCCAAAATAAAATATGTATGGGAACGATGGTACTAATAGCAACAATAGTAATAAAATAATATAAAATAAAATATTGATGATGGTGATAACAATAATAATAAGTCTAATAACAATAATAATAATAATGATAGTATATTAAATAATAAATAATACAAAATTAAATATGTATGGGAACGATGGTACTAATAGCAACAACAATAATAATAATAATAAAAGAATACAAAATAAAATATTGATGATGGCGGTAACAATAATAATAAGTCTAATAACAATAATAATAATGATAGTATTAAATAATACAAAATAAAATATGTATGGGAACGATGGTACTAATAGCAACAATAATAATAATAAAATAATACAAAAAATAAAATATTGTTGATGGCGGAAAACAGCAATAATAAGTCTAAGAACAACACTAATATTAATAATGATAGTATTAAATATTAACTAATACAAAATAAAATATGTATGGGAACGATGGTACTAATAGCAACAATAATAATAATATAATAATAATAAAATAATACAAAATAAAATATTGTGATGATGGCGGTAACAACAATAATAAGTCTAAGAACAACAATAATAATAATAATGACAGTATTAAATATTAAATAATACAAAATAAATATGTATGGGAACGACGGTACTAATAGCAACAATAATAATAATAAAATAATACAAAATAAAATATTGATGATGGCTGGTGGCTGGGTAACAACAATAATAAGTCTAAGAACAACAATAATAATAATAATGACAGTATTGAAAATATTAAATAATACAAAATAAAATATGTATGGGAACGATGGTACTAATAGCAACAATAATAATAATAATAATATAATACAAAATAAAATATTGATGATGGCAGTAACAATAATAAGTCTAATAACAATAATAATAATGATGGTATTAAATAATACAAAAAAAAATATGTATGGGAATGATAGTACTAATATTTAAAAACAAATAAAAATAATAATAAATATATTATTAATTCATTTATTTATTTATTTCAGGTACTTATATAGCGCCGTCAATTTACGCAGAGCTTTACATAATATATTGTAAAGTAATCTAAGGTCCCTAAACTCACATTCATACATAAAAAATTAGACTAAATTAAGTTTAGACAAAAGCCAATAACCTACTAGCATGTCTTTAATATAAATACAAAAAATATTGATGATGGTTTATGTTAACAATAATAAGTTATTAGACTAAGAAACAATAATAATAATAATGATAAATAGTATTAAATAATAAATAATACAAAATAAAATATGTATGGGAATAAGACGATGGTACTAATATTAAAAAACAATAATGAAATAATTATAATATTAAAATATTATATTATTAATGGTTATTAACAACACAAACAAATAAAAAATAATTAAATTATTAAATATAGTAAAAAAAAAATATTGATGATGGTGGTAACAATAATAATATCTCTAATAACAATAATAATAATGATAGTACTAAATAAAAGAAATAATACAAAATAAAATATGTATGGGAATGATGGTACTAATATTAAAAAACACAATAATGATAATAAATAATTTTTATAAAATTAAAATATTATCATTAACAACATAAAATAAATAAAAAAATTATATTATTAATGTAATTACAAAACAATATTGATGATGGTGGTAAAAGTAATAAAAGTCTAATCAGCGTCGTGCAAATAACAATAATAATGATAGTATTAAAATTTAATCCAAAATAAAATTTTGATGATGATGGTAAATAGTAATAAAATACAATAATTGATTTAATAATAATATTAATTATAATACTGAGCAAAAAATACTAATTAAAATATTTATGGGAATGATGATAATACTATTAAAAATATTAGTAAACAATAAGAATAATTTAATAATTAAAATACTATTATAATAATAATAAAATAATATAAAATTAAAAATAAAAATAACTATAATAAAAATTTTACAAAAAAATACTGATGATGGCGGAAACAATAATAATAAGTCAAATAGCAATAATAATAATAAAAAATAATAATAATAATAATATTATTAATAATAAAATAATACAAAATAATAAAATATTGATGATCAGGGTAACAATAATAATAAGTCTAATAACAATAATAATAATGATCGTATTAAAATAATACAAAATAAATTATGTATGGCAATGATGGTACTAAAATTAAAAACACAATAATGATAAAAAAATAATTATATTAAAATATTATTATCAACAACATAAATAAATAAAATAAAAAAATAATTATATTATTAAATATATTAAAAAAAAAAATGATGATGGCATCAGGTAACAATAATAATAAGTATGATAACAATAATAATAATGATAGTATTAAAATACTACAAAATAAATAATATTCTGAATGATGGTAATAATATTAATAAAATGCAATAATGCTAATAATAATATTAATTTTAATACTGAAAAAAAATTACAAATAAAATATTGTATGGGAATGATGGTAATACTATTAAAATACAGTAACGATAAAATAATTTAATATTAAAATAATAATGAAATAATAATATAAAATTACAATAAAAAATTTATAATATTTAAAATTTTACAAAAAATGTAAAATAATGACTTGGCGGCAACAATAATAAAAAAATAAGTCTAATAAAAAAACAATATTTTAAATAATTATAATACAAAATAAAATAGAAATAATTATAATATTAAAATAATAATATTATAAAATATAATACAAAATAAAATATTGATGATACTAATAAAAATAATAATAATAATAATAAAAAAATTAAAATAATACAAAATAAATATTGATGATGGTAATAGTAATAAACTACAATAATAATAATAATCTAAATAAAATAATTACAAAATAAAATATTGATAAATATAGTAATATACAAAATAAATAAATAATATGTAATATTAATAATAATAATAATAATAATAATAATAATATAACACAAAATAAAATATTGATGATAGTATTTTAATAATGAAAACTAATAATAATATATAATACAAAATAAAATAACGATGATAGTTTAATAATAATAAATACTGTTACAATAATAATAATAATATAATACAAAATAAAATAATATAACAAAAAAATAGTGGGGCAACTACAATAAATAAACTATAATATAATAATAATTTAATAAAATATTAATAAATAATACAAAATACAATATTGATGATGGTAATAGTAATAAACTACAATAATAATAATAATAATAATAATAATAAAAATACAAAATAAAATTGTGATGGTAATAGTAATAAACTACAATAATAATAATAATAATTTTAGCATCACTATTTTATTGATTTTATACAAGGAAATATTGTTGATGCTTTTTTTTTAATGGTGATATTAGACAAGATTAATGACATTTTCTTAATCTAATGCTTTGAATAGGGAAGACGAATTTTATTTGTTTCATTGTATAATTTTTCTTTTTAATTGTTTTTTTTTCATATATATACAATGCAATTAGTGATCCTTAGTTGATTCTGGCCGGGGAGGGTCAGTAAGAGATGCGGATGCTGCCTAGAAGATCTCAGGGAATATAGAGGACTCTCGATCTTGCAAGCAATTCATTCTGCACTCCCCTATCCAGATTGTCCCATACACATCACTGGAAGCGCCCTAGCAGTGGGCGGATCCTCTCAGCGAAGATCTGGGGGAAGAGGGCACCGGGCGCCATCCGGCTTTTGGAACGCGCGAAGCGGAAGCCCCATGGAACGCACAGGCCGGAAGTTCCACTACAACTTCCTTTCCTGTTGTCTCAGGAAGAAGGAGAGGAGAGGGTGATGTGTGTGGTGACTGGCAGCGGCTGCAGGTAACGATGGGGGAGCCAGAGAGCCTTACTGGGGTTCTGAACCTGTATTAAAGACAGGAGGAGGGGCCTGTCAGTATTGGGGTGGTCAGTCATGTGATCAGGGGGTTTGTTGTGGAGATATAAGCTGCCCCCTGGTCACCTGACCCCCCAAGAACTGAGATGTGTGTACATGTATATTATATTTTTTATTATTATGTATAATTATATTATTTTCACATGTTGTGCTGAATTATATTTATAAATAAAAAGGCGCCCGGAGCTGACCGTTGGCGGTCAAGGTGTGCTGTTCCTCCGAAACGAAAGACCCAGAATACCCGGAGTGCCGCTCTAGTGAGTGCGCCCAGCTACGTGCGTCCATCATAGAATCCCTGGAAACAACAGACAGCAGACAGGCGACTTCCCACAATGCAATGCGATCTTCTGTTTGGCAGTTGAGGAGCCTTCGTTGTATTATGGGGCCTAAGCTAGGGGCCCAGCCAGGTCTACACTTGCATACGGCGCCCCTCAGGGGGGTTCCAGGGGCAATGAGAGGACGGTGTCCTCTTCCCTCAGCTGTACCTAGAGGGGGATTCTTGAAAAAGCTTTTATTGTTGGCTCAGTACTGTGCAGGAGACATCTGGAGATCTTTGCAAGGTGTCAGCCTGATCCTCAGATATAGGTGAGAACACCCACTGTGCCCATTATGAGGGGTTCCCACCATCCCTGTGCTGAGTTCTCGGGCCTGTACACCTGCTGTGCCCATTATGAGGGGTTCCCACCATCCCTGTGCTGGGTGCCCAGGTCTATACACACGCTGTTCCCATTGGAAGAGGTTCCCACCATCCCTGTGCTGCGTTCCCAGGTCTGTACACCTGCTGTGCCCATTATGAGGGGTTCCCACCATCCCTGTGCCGAGTTCTCGGGTCTGTACACCCGCTGTGCCCATTATGAGGGGTTCCCACCATCCCTGTGTTGAGGTCCCGGGTCTCTACACCCGCTTTGCCCATTATGAGGGGTTCCCATCATCCCTGTGCTGAGTTCTCGGGTCTGTACACCCACTGTGCCCATTATGAGGGCTTCCCACCATCCCTGTGCCGAGTTCTCGGGTCTGTACACCCGCTGTGCCCATTATGAGGGGTTCCCACCATCACTGTGCGGAGTTCCCAGGTCTATACACCTCCTGTGTCCATTATGAGGGGTTCCCACCATCCCTGCGCTGAGTTCCTGGGTCTGTACACCCGCTGTGCCCATTATGAGGGGTTCCCACCATCCCTGTGCCGAGTTCTCGGGTCTGTACATCCGCTGTGCCCATTATGAGGGGTTCCCACTATCTCCTGCACTGAGGGGTTCCCACCATCCCTGCACTGAGGGTCTGTGCTCCTGCTGTGCCCATTATGAGGTCAACTCCAACCCTGCATCAAGTTCCAGGGTACCCATTATGAGGGGGTCCCCACCATCCCCCACATGTAGGTGGGCGGGAACACCCATATTCCAGGCGGACAGGAATTAAGGCAGCGAGATCTCACGATCGGAACATCCAAATGATATAAGGAGCCAGGCCATGGGGTATTGCGCTGTGTACCAATGAGTGTGTTTCTTTCAATCCCCAGAACTCTACTGTGGCGAAGAAGACCTCTTGAGACCCAACTCAGTCCCCAGCAACCATCCTGGAGTCTAAGACGAAGCAGGAGCTGGAGCCGCACCACCCTCCCTGACATCTGAGGAACCATGACAGGACCGTTGATCTGCTGACGGGAGAGAGGTGAGCAGTGCTAGGAATCATGAGATGTTATCTTGTCACGGCAAGGCATCAGGTAGTGAATCGTATTGTCAGGGTTGGAGGTCTCTAGCAGGCTAGGCATTATTCCTTGAGGTGAGAATAGTTTTGGACGTCATACTGTATATGTACAGATCTTGGTTCCCTATGAAGGTGTAAAGAAGACTACAGGGCTGGTCAAGGACACAATGGGGTATGTTGACTTTTCATATGGTCTCGGAATGGCTTGAGGTGTTCAGAAAGAGGTGGAGACAAAGAGAAGCCTTAGTCTCCTTCCCATCTTCTAGGTTTGTCTTGGTCAAATGAGGGACCCCACGTGCACCTACAGCCTTCTCCAACTGGAGAAGGTCGCATAGAGTCCCTCTTCCCAGAATATTTTGGCTTGAGGAGGAGACAAAGAGAAGCCTTAGTCTCCTTCCCATCTTCTAGGTTTGTCTTGGTCAAATAAGGGACCCCACTCGCACCTCCAGCCTTCTTCAACTGGAGAAGGTCGCATAGAGTCCCTCTTCCCAGAATCTTTTGGCTTGAGGTGTTCAGAAGGAGCTGGAGACAAAAAGAAGCCTTAGTATCCTTCCCACCTTCTAGGTTTGTCAGGTCCAATGAGGGACCCCACTTGCACCTCCAGCCTTCTCCAACTGGACAAGGTCACATAGAGTCCCTCTTCCTAGAATCTTTTGGCTTGAGGTGTTCAGAAAGAGGTGGAGACAAAGAGAAGCATTAGTCTCCTTCCCACATTCTAGGTTTGTCTTGGTCAAATGAGAGACCCCACTTGCACCTCCAGCCTTCTCCAACTGGAGAAGATTGCATAGAGTCCCTCTTCCCAGAATCTTTTTTTCTAACTAATGACCTGATGTATCTCCAGGCTTCCACGTTTTCACCACCATGTCCTTCTCTCCAACAGGTTTGTTGCATGGAGGACCCAATCTCTGTCGCCACGTCAGTTGAATGAAGTTCACAGTACCATTGTAAATTGCTCGACTGCAAAACTCTCCCTACTGGAAGGGCAGATTATGTATCGTGCAGTGGAGAATCTCCCCGGGATGCTGACATTATGCAAAGAGGAGGTGGAAGATCCCCAACAGCCATATAGTACCGGAATTAAAGTCGAGCCATCAGAGGGTGATGGAGTCACTGATGCAGCTTTCACAGCTGCGGGTATTAAGGAGGAACCCCAGTGGAGTGCTGGAGAACACCATCTGCACTCTGGATGCTCCACACTGGATAACCCTAGTCGTACGTCCACTGACATAAAGGAAGAAGTCGACTCTTGTGACGAAGAACAGCTCCCACTTTCTAAATCTTCTTCACCTCCATGCGATACCGATATTGAGAGGGAGTCGGATGGTGGAGATCTCACAGAAGATTCGGAGTATGGAAGCATTTATCCTGAAGATGAAGAGGAGGACAACAACAGCCAACAGGGGCCACCGGCAGAAGAGCCGTACAAGTGTGACAAGAAGTCTACCAAGCGGAGCTCTGAACGCCTCAATCACCAGAGGAGCCGCGCTGGAGAGAAACCGTACTCATGTCCCGACTGCGGCAAGTCCTTCACCACCTGCACATACCTGGCCCATCACCAGAGGACTCACACAGGAGAAAAGCCTTATTGCTGTCCAGTGTGCGGCAAACGGTTCACCACCAACTCGAACTTGTCTCTGCACCAGAGGATCCACACCGGCGAGCGCCCTTTTCGCTGCTCTGAATGCGGCAAGCGTTTCATCAGCAACTCTCACCTCATCCGGCACTGGAAAATTCACACTGGGGAGAAGCCTCATTCCTGCATGGCCTGCGGGAAAAGTTTTATCAGCAACTCTGACCTGAAAAGACACGAGAAGATCCACGACGAGAACCGTCCGAAGCCCGGCTCCAAACGGGCGGAATTCCTCAAGAGCCTGCCCGTCGACCTCGCCAAGAAGCCACACCCTTGCCCCGAGTGCGGGAAGCATTTCACCACCAAGTCCAACCTCGGTGTCCACCGGAAGATTCACACGGGTGTCAAGCCTTTCATCTGCCCCGACTGCGGCAAATGTTTCGTCACCAACGCCCATCTGATCCGACACCACAAGATCCACACCGGAGAGAAGCCGTATTCTTGCTCGGCATGCGGGAAGTGCTTCATTAACAATTTTGACCTGAAAAGACACAAGAAAATCCACTTTGACTACGAAGCCCTTTCTGCCCCGGGGTCTGTAGAGAGCCTTAGCAGCGAGTCAGGTATTGATAATCAAGACAGACCGAACGTAGTATAGGACTTGAGGAACGTTTTATCGGTCGTCTAGAAAAATCCAACATGGGACAGCTTCCCGCCATCAATGTAACATGGATGACGTATGGGACAAAGTCAAAGTGGAGCTTCCCGCCATCAATGTAGGAGCTGTTCCATGGATGACGTATGGAGAGCCTCGAGGAACGTTCCTCGAGTTCAAGCCACCAATGAGACGTCATGATGGACTTCCAGCCTGTGGGAAGTAGCCGAGGATGAATATTTTTTTTATGAACGCTTTTATTAACTTTGTACTTTGATGTACGTGTCTAAAAAAAAAAAAACTGCCAGAGACTCCTGGGGGAAATTTATTTTTTTATTCGGCAGGCCTGAGTGCCATATTTTCATTAATTACAGCCTTAAAATGCAGAAAAGTCAACCTGTGGAAGCTCAGTTTTTGACTTGTTGGTGAGGAACTAGAGATTGTTAAAGCAGATTTCCAGGATTCCCCAACTCCCTGAAGAACTGTCCCTCCCTCGTTTTTTTTTTTTTTTTTTAAAGCCCACATAATTACGTTTTTAATTGAAGTGGTTGTAAACTTCAGACATGAAATATGAAAAAAGCACATCCCTCTATAGTGTGTACTTGTCTCAGTCCAGAGCACTGAGTGTCATTTCTGTCTGCTGCCTTGTTCCTCTGCTATCAGCATAAGTCACCTTTTCTTGACACCAAGAGAAAAAAAGGTGACGGGAGGGAGCTCCAGCACGCATCCTGTGATTGACAGCCTCAGATTTCTTCCTGTGAGCTGTGTGGACGAGGGTGTGTCTCTTCTTTCCAAATCAGCATTCAGAGCTCTTCTCACTGAGCTCTGCAGTCATTTTTCTCTTTTTTTTCTGAACTCTCAGACAAGCTTTATAAAGTCAGCACTTTGAATGGTTGTAGAGAAGAGAGGGCTGTGGATAAACAGGTACAACTTATGTAGGAGGATTTGTTTCCTCTCTGTGTATCACATGAGGCTAGCCACTTCACTGGGTATATGGACAGGTTTACAGCCACTGTATGATGATTTCTGGTTCTGGCAGTGACGGGGGAGGGTGGAAACTCTTTCAGTGGTGCTCCCATAATGACATGTGAGCATCACTCAGTTCTTGGAGTTCTGTGGGCCCAGTCTGGAATGCCCTCTGGGGGGAGGGGGTGTATTTGACAAACTGGACTTCCAGAACACGGCAAAATGACTGAATTTTGTTGCCCTGAAGACTACCAGGAGTTACCCTTTAGAGGAAGGCCTTCAAAATATCTCAATAGAAGCTCTTCATACTGTAAACAAGAATTGCCAAAAAGCCCTCCTCTCTGTATGAGGCGTTTGGGGCGAGGGAGGCAAGGTAAGGGCGGTAAAAAAACCTGCGGACACAAAGATAATGCAGAAAAATGCACCAGTTGGGTCAAACTCCATGTTGAGCAGTTGTCCTAAATCCCTTATGGTGGTCCTACACATCAGAGAGCCATGGGGTTCCCTCTTGAGTAGTTTGTGTGTGTTGGCATTAAGTACTGTAGTCTCCAAACTGCGGCCCTTTGCTTGCCTTTATCCGGCCCTTGGGGTACTATTTCATCCACTGACGCCAACAGTGGGGCATAATTCCTGCCACCGATGCCAACAGTGGGGCATAATTCCTGCCACTGATGCCAACAGTGGAGCACTGTTCATTCTACTGACACCACTGTTGGGGAACCATTCCTCCCACTGACACCAGTGATGGGGCACCATTCCTCCCACTGACACCAGTGATGGGGCACCATTCCTCCCGCTGACACCAGTGATGGGGCACCATTCCTCCCGCTGACACCAGTGATGGGGCACTATTCCTTCCACTGATGCCAATTAAGGGGCACTAATCCTGCCACTGAGACAAGACTGTATTTCTACGTCTGACACCAACAGTGGGGCATAATTCCCTGACATCAATTATGATGATACCTCCCACTGACATCAGTGATGGAGCACTATTCTCCACCTGACACAAATGATGGGGCGCTATTCCTACCACTGACACCAATGATGGTGTGTTGTTCCTTCCACTGACACCAATGATGGGGCAGTATTCCTCCCACTGACACCAATGATGGGGCGCTATTCCTCCACTGACACCAATGATAGGGCGCTATTCCTCCCACTGACACCAATGATAGGGCGCTATTCCTCCCACTGACACCAATGATGGGGCGCTATTCCTCCCACTGACTCCAGTGATGGGGCGCTATTCCTCCCACTGACACCAGTGATGGGGCGCTATTCCTCCCACTGACACCAATGATGGGGCGCTATTCCTCCCACTGACACCAATGATGGGGCGCTGTTCCTTCCACTGACACCAATATTGGGGTGCTGTTCCTTCCACTGACACCAATGATGGGGCAGTATTCCACTGACACCAATGATGGGGCAGTATTCCACTGACCCCAATGATGAGGCAGTATTCATCCCACCGACACCAATGATGGGGCACTATTCATCCCACTGACACCAATGATGGGGCACTATTCATCCCACTGACACCAATGATGGGGCGCTATTCATCCCACTGACACTAATGATGGGGCACTTTTCCCCCACTGACATCGGTGATGGGGTGCTTCCCCCCCCCCCACTGACACCAATGATTGGGTGCTATTCCTCCCACTGACACCAATAATGTGCTATTCCTCCCACTGACACCAATGTTGGGGCCCTATTCCTCCCACTGACACCAATGTTGGGGCCCTATTCTTCCCACTGACACCTGTGATTGGGCGCTATTCCTCTCAATGACACCAGTGATGGAGCCCTATTCCTCCCACTGACACCAATGTTGGGGCCCTATTCTTCCCACTGACACCAGTGATGGGGCGCTATTCCTCTCAATGACACCAGTGATGGGGCCCTATTCCTCCCACTGACACCAATGTTGGGGCCCTATTCTTCCCACTGACACCAATGTTGGGGCCCTATTCTTCCCACTGACACCAATGATGGGGCGCTATTCCTCTCGCTGGCACCAATGTTGGGGCACTATCCTTCCTACTGATACCAATTAGGGGGCATTATTCCTTTCCCAATACCAAAAAAGGTGCAATATTCCTCCCACTAAAACCAATCAGGAGAAAGAGTTTGCTCCCACTGACACCAGGGCATTTTCTACTCCCACTGGCCACAGTCCAACCCCCTCAAAGTCTGAAGGACAGTAAATGGCCTTTTGTTTAGAAAGGTTGGAGCCCCCTGGCGTAAGGAGTTATTTGTTGGTTAAAAAGCTCAAAGATGTTCTTGAATCGGCCATTCCTCTTGTGTACGTCCCAGTTAAATCACAGAAGTTTTATGAGCTCTTTCTTGCTGACTAGTGGTTTGGGGACTCCCTTGGGGGTGGGGGTCATTGTAGACCTCGTCCTCCTGATAGCCGCTTACGTTCCTTGGTGCACCGATCAACCACATTGGCAGTCGAAGGATATTTCCACTTTATTTTGACAATTTGTGATCTGCATCCTCGCAGTTTAAAGTCCTGAAGGAGGCATCTGCTGTAGGTCTTGGGTTGTTCAACCATCTCTTTATGGACGGCAACCTCCCTTTCCACGGCGTGAGAACATGTAGGCCTGCCAATGTTGTGTCACAGCGGATTCCACCCAACGCCAAGTTTTTGGAACCTTACATATAAAGTACTTAAAGAAAAAAAGAAAAAAGATGGCGTGTAAGAAAGTGTAAATCTTGTCAAGTAAAATGTTATGAAATCTGACCTGGTGAGAATCACTCCATCTAATGATGTACACTCACAGGCTACTTTGTTAGGTCCACCTGGTTGCTAACACAAACTGCTACTCAGCCAATCACATGGCAGCAACTCCATGCATTTAGGCATCTAAACGTGGTGAAGACAACTTGCTGAAGTTCAAACTGAGCATCAGAATGGGGAAGAAAGGGGATTTAAGTGACTTTGATCGTGGCATGGTGGTTGGTGCAGGACTGACTGTTCTGGGTGTTTCAAAAACCGCTGCTCTACTGGGATTTTCACGCACAACCTTCTCTAGGGAAATCCAGAATCATCAGACCAAGCAACGTTTTGTAGCCTCCGCTTCCTGTTCTTAGTTGACAGGAGTGGCACCCGGTGTGGTCTTCTGCTGCTGTAGCCAATCTGCTTCAAGGTTGGACGTGTTGAGTGTTCAGAATTTGTATCCTGCATAGCTTGGTTGTAACGAGTGGTTATTTGAGCTACCGTTGCCTTTCTATCATCTGGAACCAGTCTGCCCATTCTCTTCTGACCTCAACAAGGCATTTTCCTCCACACAACTGCCGCTCGCTGGATATTTTTCTTTTTTGGACCATTCTCTGTAAATCCCAGTAGATCTTGAAATACTCAGACCAGCCTGCTTGGCACCAACAACCATGCCACGCTCAAAGTCACTTAAATCCCCTTTCTTCCCCATTCCGATGCTTGGTTTGAACTTCAGCAAGTCATCTTCACCATGTGTAGATGCCTAAATGCATTGGGTTGCTGACATGTGATTTGGCTGTTTAGCAATTTGTGTTACCCAACAATTGAACAGATGGACCTAATAAAGTGTCTGGTGCATGTAGTATTGTTTTTGTAAGAAGCAGTAGACAGAGGCTACCCACAGACATGGGATTGCAGTCAGTACCAGGCAGAACAACATCTTGTTTGTGCTGAAGACCACGATGGACTGACCAGATCAGTCACTGGTCGTAGGTTGGTGGTTGTGTGGGTGGGTAGGGAGACGTCCCTCCAGTTGGTAGTGCCCCATGGTGGATACTGGCGGGAAACCCTCTTAGGGTTTGGGCTGCTGCCTTTCTGAGACGGCCTTAAGGTCGTTTTCCACACGTAGACTTGGAATAATAGGAAAGAAGGAGCGCCCAATGTCCGAAAGAATGCAAGTTTGATAGCAAATTATGAGGCATTTATAGAGAAGAGTGACCAGTACATCAAGCCAACGCGTTTTGAAAGAGTCCTTTCTCTCGAAACGCGTTGAGTTAATGTAATTGCTGTTAGGTTATGAGGTATTTATTGAGAATAACGACAAGTACATCAACTCAACACGTTTCGGGAGAAAGGTCTCTCCCAAAACACGTTGGCTTGATGTACTGGTTGTTGGGTTATGAGGTATTTATTGAGAATAACGACCAGTACATCAAGCCAACACGTTTTGGGAGAGACCTTTCTCCTGAAACGCGTTGAGTTGATGTACTTGTCGTTAGGTTATGAGGTATTTAATTGAGAATAACGACAAGTACATCGACTCAATGCATTTCGGCAGAAAGGTCTCTCCCAAAACGTGTTGGCTTGATGTACTGGTCGTTATTCTCAATAAATACCTAATCACCAGTACATCAAGGCAACGCGTTTCGGGGGAGACCTTTCTCCCGAAATGTGTTGTTGATGTACTTGTTGTTCTCAAATACCTCATAACCTAACGGCAAGTACATCAACTCAATGCGTTTTGGGAGAAAGGACTCTGCCAGAACGTGTTGGATTGATGTACTGGTCATTCTTCTCTATAAATGATTCATAATCTACCATCAAACTTGCATTCTTTTGGACATTGGGCGCTCCTTTTCTATTTGTCTACAGGCAGAGCAGCAGGCTCACTTTAAAGTCTGCCCCCCCCCCCCCCCCCCTCACCAGCTTGTACATAAAGCTGAACTTCAGCCTTACCTTTCCCAGACTTGCAGTAAGTCTGTGTTGAAACTGATTGTTGCCAATATCCTGTAAACTCACATCTCCACAATATTGCCCTTTTTGAAGCTGCAGCATCTTTATTCACCATTAACCCCTTGGTGGCGGCTCCTCCTGGCCATTTTTGGGGTTTCTGATTCCGGGAGGCGGGGTTTAGGATCATGTGACCACCGTGATTGGCTGTCACAGCGGTCACATGATCGGAAAGCTCCCGATTGTTTATATCGGGTACGCAGATATGTGGCCTCTCGGCGTCAAAGCCCAGCTGCCAAGAAGCTGCATATTTGTGTACCGCCGGCGTCAAGGAGTTAAAGTAGTATTAACACCTCAGAGATTTTTTTTCTACTTGGCACATTGAGCTCAATAAACTAAACACTCCCCTTTAAACTGTTTTCAGCTTTCAATGCTGCTGCCTCCTGTACTTTCAGCTCTGCTTCCCTGAACTTCCAGTTGTCACAGGTGTTAATGAGTTAACATTGAACAGGACGAAGCAGGCGGAGCTGAGCTGCTGAGTTACTGTTGGGAGGGGGGCAGTGGGAGCTGAGCTGCTGAGCCATTGCTGGGAAAGGAAGCAGCAGGAGTTGAGCTACTGCTGGGAGTGGGGGTGCAGGTGGAGCTGAGCTGTTGAGTCGTTGCTGGGAAAGGAAGCAGCAGGATCTGAGCCACTGCTGGGAGGGGGAGCATGAGAAGCTGAGCTGCTGAGTCGTTGCTGGGAAAGGAAGCAGCAGGAGTTGAGCTACTGCTGGGAGGGGGAGCATGAAAAGCTGAGCTGCTGAGTCATTGCTGGGAAAGGAAGCAGCAGGAGTTGAGCTACTGCTGGGAGGGAGGGGGGCAGTGGGAGTTGAGCTGATGAGTCAGGCTGGGAAAGGAAGCAGCAGGAGCTGAGCCACTGCTGGGAGGGGGAGCATGCAAATCTGAGCTGCTGAGTCATTGCTGGGAAAGGCAGCAGCAGGAGTTGAGCTACTGCTGGGAGGGGGGGGTGGAGCTGAGCTGTTGAGTCGTTGCTGGGAAAGGAAGCAGCAGGAGCTGAGTCACTGCTGGAAGGGGGAGCATGAGAAGCTGAGCTGCTGAGTCGTTGCTGGAAAAGGAAGCAGCAGGAGCTGAGCCACTGCTGGGAGTGGGGGAGCAGGTGGAGCTGAGCTGCTGAGTCTTTGCTGGGAGTGGGGGAGCACGCGGAGCTGAGCTGTTGAGTTGTAGCTGGGAAAGGAAGTAGCAGGAGCTGAGCCGCTGCTGGGAGGGGGGAGCAGGCGGAGCTGAGCTGCTGAGTCTGCTGGGAGTGGGGGAGCAGGTGGATCTGAGCTGCTGAGTCTTTGCTGGGAGTGGGGGAGCAGGTGGATCTGAGCTGCTGAGTCGTTGCTGGGAGGTGGAGTATCTAGATCTGAGCTCCTGAGTAACACTGGGAAGGGTAGAAGAGAGAGGTGACCTGCTGAGTCACTGTTTGGAGGTGGGAGCAGGCGGAGCTTAGCTGCTGAGTTACTGTCGGCAGTAGGGGGACAGTGGGAGCTGAGCTGCTCAGCCATGCTGGGAAATAAAGCAGCAGGAGCTGCGCTGCTGAGTCATTTCTGGGAGGGGCAAGCTGAGCTGCTGGGGAGCCAGGACTTTCAGAGGAGACTTAGTTGCCAAGTCAGTACTGGAAGAGGGACCGGAGCTACTAAGTCACTTCTAGAAGGGGCAGCAAGGTGAACTGAACTGCTGAGTCACTGCTAGAAGGAGGAGTTGATCTGCTGAGAGAACATCTTGTGAATGACTTAAAGAAGAATTCCAGGAAATTGTTTCCCCCCCCCATGCAGTGGGGCTATGCCTGGACTGCATGTGTAACTGCTCAATTTTGTCCAGAGGATTCCACAGAGGAGATGCCGATTCTCCAAGCGTAAGGCCATGCTAGCAATCTTGTGAAATGGATTGTTCCTGACGTCATCACGCCCATAGACCGGCTCTGGACATACGGCCAGCAGGAACAGTCTACCGCTTTACGTGGGGGGGGGAGTGTGGTTTTCCAAAGAAACAAAGGATCGGCCTTTTGGTGCGCCCGTTGAAAAAAATGAACTGTTAACTCACGCAGCGCCAGTACAATTCTACCACATAGGAGACCAAAAACATGAAGTTCTGTGATCTTTGGGAGTAGAGCGATCCATGGTGGGTTATACAAGTTTTAGTCAATTGGGTTGATGCAAATGGTGTCATAATAAGAGAAACAATGCACCCCCGTCCATGACATTCCTCCTTCCCTGCAGTAGGAGATGAAATATTATCAGCAGTAAACATAAAGACATGATCGGGGATGCCAGACGTTTTCATTTCAACCTTGTAAGTTTCCAGGAGAGGCCGTAAGCTAGGTACACGAGCAGGGGAACGTGAATTTCAGTAAGTCCTGTCCACAAAGATGTCCCCCCGCCATGGTTGTAAGAAAACAAAATGGTTTTTTTTTTTCCGGTTCTAAAAAAAAAAATCCTCATGGTTGTAGAATAAAATAGGTAATTTTTAATCATCTTAGTTTTTTTTATAAATTTAATTCCACTTTGAGTACCTATACAGGCAGCAGTGCCCGCTTACATTATCGTAGACGGTTACCCCCCGTGTACATAAAAAATTCTAGAAACGATTTTAAAAATCTTAAACATAGTAGTTACGACACGCTGAACACAATCAGGTATGTCTGTGAATACCAAATATGGCGATAGATTTCTTGTATGGGGAAAATGCTAATTTTTTGGTGCCAAATGAATTTGTATTCTGTTTCAAGAATTTGCGTTTACACAATTTTTGGATGTAAATAAAAGCATGACTTGACACAACGAAATATGTTTTGTCGTCTTTGTATGACCCTTAGGTATGACTGTGTTTGAAGGACCTTCTGCTTTAGAGGACGTTGTAGGGGGTCTACCATTGAATCTGTCCACCTTCTGCTTTAGAGGACGTTGTAGGGGGTCTACCACTGAATCTTTCCACCTTCAGCTTCAGAGGACGTTGTAGGGGGTCTACCATTGAGTCTGTCCACCTTCTGCTTTAGAGGACGTTGTAGGAGGTCTACCATTGAATCTGTCCACCTTCTGCTTTAGAGGACGTTGTAGAGGTCTACCATTTAAATCTGTCCACCTTCTGCTTTAGAGGACGTTGTAGGGGGTCTACCACTGAATCTGTCCACCTTCTGCTTTAGAGGACGTTGTAGGGGGTCTACCATTGAGTCTGTCCACCTTCTGCTTTAGAGGACGTTGTAGGAGGTCTACCATTGAATCTGTCCACCTTCTGCTTTAGAGGACGTTGTAGAGGTCTACCATTTAAATCTGTCCACCTTCTGCTTTAGAGGACGTTGTAGGGGGTCTACCACTGAATCTGTCCACCTTCTGCTTTAGAGGACGTTGTAGGGGGTCTACCATTGAGTCTGTCCACCTTCTGCTTTAGAGGACGTTGTAGGAGGTCTACCATTGAATCTGTCCACCTTCTGCTTTAGAGGACGTTGTAGGAGGTCTACCATTGAATCTGTCCACCTTCTGCTTTAGAGGATGTTATAGGGGGTCTACCATTGAATCTGTCCACCTTCTGCTTTAGAGGACGTTGTAGAGGTCTACCATTTAAATCTGTCCACCTTCTGCTTTAGAGGACGTTGTAGGGGGTCTACCATTTAATCTGTCCACCTTCTGCTTTAGAGGACATAAGGGGTCTACCATTGAATCTGTCCACCTTCTGCTTTAGAGGACGTTGTAGGGGGTATACCATTGAATTTGTCCACCTTCTGCTTCAGAGGACGTTGTAGGGGTCTACCATTGAATCTGTGCACCTTCAGCTTTAGAGGACGTTGCAGGGCAGGAGTCCTCAAACTGCGGCCCGCCAAGGCCATTTATCCGGCCTGTCGGCAGGGGCGGGACAGGAAAGGACACTAAGTACAGGGGCGGACAGGGGGCTGCTGTACCTTACCTGGCTCCGGTCCCAGTCCCAGTCCCACGACGATCCAGTCCAGGAAGTGCTGCTCCTTCATTCACTCCGGCCACTCCCTCACTCCTGCCGCTCGGCTCTGCCTCCTCACCGGTGATTGGGCGCCAGAACTGTAGCTCAGGAAAGGCACACAGGCAGCCAATCACCTGCGAGGAGGCGGAGACGTGCGGCCCCGCGAACATCGAGTGAGGGAGAGGCCAGAGTGAAGAAGGACAGCTGACAGGTAAGTGTGCCGTGCTGATGGTGCTGCTGCAACCAGGTATGCTGGCTGCAGCAGCACCATGCTGGAACAGGGGTCAGCAAGGTAAGTGTCATTGGTGTCAGTGGAAGGAATAGTGCCCCATCATTGGTGTCACTGACACTAATGATGGGGCATTATTCCTCCCACTGACACCAATGATGGGACACTATTCCTCCCCCCACTGACACCAACGATGGGGCACTATTCCACCCCCCACTGACACCAACGACGGAACACTATTCCCCCCCCACTGACACCAAGGATGGGGCACTATTCCACCCCCCCACTGACACCAATGATGGGGCACTATTCCTCCCCCACCACTGACACCAACAATGAGGCACTATTCCACCCCCCACTGACACCAACGATGGAACACTATTCCTCCCACTGACACCAATGTTGGGACACTATCCCCCCACTGACACCAACGATGGAACACTATTCCTCCCACTGACACCAATGTTGGGACACTATCCCCCCACTGACACCAACGATGGAACACTATTCCTCCCACTGACACCAATGATGGGGCACTATTCCTCCCACTGACACCAATGTTGGGACACTATCCCCCCACTGACACCAAAGATGGAACACTATTCCTCCCACTGACACCAATGATGGGGCACTATTCCTCCCACTGACACCAATGTTGGGACACTATCCCTCCCACTGACGCCAACAAGTGGAACACTTCCTCCCACTGACACCAATGTTGGGACACTATCCCCCCTACTGACACCAATAATGGGGCACTATTCCCCCCCACCAGGGGCGGACTGACCATTTGCAAACTCGGGCACTGCCCGAGGGCCCAGGGTCTGTAGGGGGCCCCATGAGATGCCCCTAATACCTTTTTCATAGGCTTTTTTGAGTTTGGGCAAGGACAAAGGGCATGATCCCCTTTTGCCCGGGGGCCCCATGAGTTGTCAGTCCGCCCCTGCCCCCCACTGACACCAATGACGTACTATTCCTCCCACTGACACCAAAGATGGGGCACTATTCCTCCCACTGACACCAATGATGGGGCACTATTCCCCCCCCCCCCCCCCACTGACACCAATGATATACTATTCCTCCCACTGACACCAATGACGGGGCACTATTCCCCCCCACTGACACAAATGACGTACTATTCCTCCCACTGACACCAAAGATGGGGCACTATTCCCCCCCACTGACACAAATGATGGGGCACTATTCTTCCCACTGACACCAATGATGGGACACTATTCCTCCCACTGACACCAATGTAGGGACACTATCCCCTTCCCCCACTGACACCAGTGACGGGGCACTATTCCCCCCCCCCCCACACTGCACCAATGATGGGACACTATTTCTCCCCCCACTGACACCAACAATGGGGCACTATTCCTCCCCCCACTGACATCAACAATGGGGCACTATTCCTCCCCCCACTGACATCAACAATGGGGCACTATTCCTCCCCCCACTGACACCAACAATGGGGCACTATTTCTCCCCCCACTGACACCAACAATGGGGCACTATTCCTCCCCCCACTGACACCAATGATGGGGCACTATTCCTCCCACTGACACCAATGATGGGGCACTATTCCTCCCATTGACACCAATGATGGGGTACGTTTATTCCCACGGACACCAATGATGGGGCACTATTCCTCCCACTGACACCAATGATGGGGCACTATTCCTCCCATTGACACCAATGATGGGGCACTATTCCTCCCACTGATACCAATGATGGGGCACTATTTCGCTCCATAAGACACACTTGGGAAATGTCTGTGCGTCTTATGGAGTGGCCGGCCCAGTATTCCCGCCGCTGTTGTATGTCCGCAGTCTCTGGTCATCTCCTGTACTGTGTCCGCATTTGTTCATATATTTTTTTTTTTTTAAACTATAGTCCGGCCCTCCAATGGTCTGAGGGACAGTGAACTGGCCCCCTGTTTAAAAAGTTTGAGGACCCCTGTTGTAGGGGGTCTACCATTGAATCTGTGCACCTTCTGCTTTAGAGGACGTTGCGGGGGGGGGGTTAACATGTTATGAACGGGGGGGGGGGGGGGGGGGTGTTTATGTGGCTTCTGTTCAAGGGGTGAGGGTCCATGCTATTGTGCGATTCCTTTGGGGAAATGTCCCCTCATTTCTTGTTCAGCAACAAGTAGGGAGGCATCTGTGGTTGGCATATGAAGACAACACAGATCCAGTACTCTTAAGAGGCTGGAGAGGTTGCAGCTGACTGACCCCTAGTGCTCGTTTACATTTGCTTCAACTTTAACCACTTGACCTCCAAAAGATTTACCCCCCTTAATGACCAGGCCTCTTTTTGCTACTCGGCGCTGCACTAATTCAACTGATAATTGCGCGGTCATGCAATGCTGCACCCAAACGAAATTTACGTCCTTTTTTCACACAAATAGAGCTTTCTTTCGGTGGTATTTGATCACCTATGCGCTTTTTATTTTTCACGCTATAAACAAAAAAAGGCCAAAAATTTTGAAGAAAAAACAATATGTTTTACTTAGCTATAAAAAATATATAGTAAACTCAAAGTTGGTTATAAATTTAGGCCAAAATGTATTCTGCTACATGTTTTTGGTAAAAAAAAAAAGCCCAATGAGTGTATATTGATTGCTTTGTGTGAAAGTTATAGCGTCTGCAAACTACGGTATAGATACTGCAATTTACGCCATTTTTTTGCTATACAGCGCTAGTTTAACGGACAATTACTCGGTCATGCAATATGGTACATAAATGAAATTTACATCCTTTTTTTTCCCACAAATTGAGCTTTCTTTCGGTGGTATTTGATCGCCTGTGCGATTTTTATTTTTTGCGCAATAAAAAAAAGGCTGACAATTTTGAGGAAAAAAACAATATTTTGGACTTTTTCCTATAAAACATGTCTAGTAAAAAAAAATTTAAAAATCAAATTTAGTCATAAATTTCTGCCAAAATGCATTCTGCGACATGTCTTTGCTAAAAAAAAAACCCGATACATGTAAATTAATTGGTTTACGTGAAAGTTATAGCGTTTACAAATGGCGGGAAAGATACTGGGATTTTTAGGTTTTTTTTATGCTAATAATGGCGGCGATCAGTGACTTATGGCGGTGATCAGTGACTTATGGCTGCGATTAGCGACTTATGGCGGGACTGCGGCGGACATTCTGACATTGGGGGGGAACTGACTTGGGGTCACTGACATCCCCAGTGACACCAATACAGTGATCAGTGCAAAAAAAAAAACAAAACACTGACACTGTACTAATGGCACTGGGGAGGAAGGGGTTAAGTTTATTTTTCAGGGAAAGGGTTAACTGTGTGAGGGGAGTGTTTTACTAGGGGGCGGGGGTGTGTGCTGCAGGGAACACCGCTGATTGCTGATCGGGAGAGAGAAACTCTTCTGTGCCGATCAGCGTATCCTGGAGCTGTCAGGGAACTGACAGAAAGCACAGCTACTGCAGCTGTGCTCTCTGTCAGCGATTGCCGCCGATCGCCAGGACATAGCCGGTAACGACCGGCTGTGACCCGGCGACTGACATCCGCGGCTGTGATCGGCGGGACAGGTAGGGCGGCGGCGCGCCTCGCGCGCTCCCCCTACCTGTTTACAAAACACACGTTTTAAAAAGTGCTTTTGCCCAGCCGTGCCGCCCTGCTGCCGTATTAATACAGTGGCTGGGCGGCATGTGGTTAACACATATTAAAGTGCCTACAACATGCTATTTTTTTATGTGTTTTTGATGCTTTGGTGATGCTTTTTTGAAGCATTCATGAAGCTTTGCAAATGCCCTGTGTGTGTTGATATTCTCTTTGTTTTAAACGGGCCCAGTAGAACCCCAACTCATTAATACCCTCGTTCAGCAGATCCCCAGCTCATTTGTACCCTCGTTCAGCAGATCCCCAGCTCATTTGTACCCTCATTCAGCAGATCCCCAGCTCATTAGTACCCTCGTTCAGCAGATTCTCTGCTCAGTAGTACCCCTAGGTCTGCTGATGCCCCACTCAGTAGAATCCCCAGTTTTGCTGATCCCTTGCTCAGCAGTACCCCCAGCTCTGCTGATCCCCTGCTCAGTAGTAACCCCCAGATCTGCTGATGCCCCACTCTGTGGAATCCCTAGCTTTGCTGATCGCCCACTCAGTAGTACCGCCAGCTCTGCTAATCCCCCGCTCAGTAGAATCCCCAGCTTTGCTGGTCCCCTGCTCAGCAGTACCCCCAGCTCTGCTGATCCCCCACTCAGTAGTAACCCCCAGGTCTGCTGATGCCCCACTCAGTAGAAGCCCCAGCTTTGCTGATTGCCTGCTCTGTAGTAGCCCCTAGATGCTGCTGATGCCCCACTCTGTAGAATCCCTAGCTTTGCTGATGTTGCACTCAGTAGTATGTGAGCTTTGCGCACTCTCAGCACATATGTATTTTCAAATGGAACGCAAATATGCGGCCGCTCTGCGTCAATTGGTTAAGGACTTTTCCCTATCAGTACTGTCATCTGAACTCATTTCTTCATATGTGTTCAGGTTAAAGGCTAAGTTCACCTTTGGAGCATGTTACATGGTACACCATATTTAACCACTTTCCCACCGCCTTATAGCAGAAATACTGCTACAGGGTGGCAGGGTTGCACAAAATATTGTGTATATATATGTGATTATGTTGTTCCGTGTAGGGGGCGTGCAGAATTCACAGCCTCGACTGTCAATCACCGGTACCCGGCTGGTGATTACTCACTGGCACCCAGTGATCGCCGACTATTACCGACGGGGGAGATAAATATATGTAAGCAATATAGTTCTCTCCCTTGTCGGCTCCAGCACACTGCTTTGTATGGCTCTGCATAGCAGAGCCATACAAAGCAGTGTGCTTACAGTGGAAAGCACAGACACCGCCCCCTAGTAAAACACATCCAGCACACAGTTATCCCTTTGATCACCCCAGATGTTAACCCCTTCCTGCCCAGTGTCATTACATGTCAGTACATATTCACATACATACAGTAACGGTGAAATAGTACGACCTGTGTCTTTATCTGAGAGCACTGTTATCCTGGGTGGGTATCTTGTGAGGTCCTCCCAGGATTGTTCCATGGGCCATGCTGCGGAGCGATCTGTCACCCGATGTGTCTACTGGACCTCTGTTGGTCTGCAGTGTACCGGGTCACTGTGAACAATTACAGCGGATCACATGACAATGTACACATTATTGTTCATCTGTTATACACAACATATGGGTTCCATTCATGCCATCCATTGTGTACTATTGTGTTGATCTCTGTGATTGGTCACAGTGATCACATGGTACAGACCAAGCCAATCACAGCCCTTCTGTACCATGTTATTAGCTGTGGCCAATCACAATAGTACACACTGAATGAATGGATTTCATTCAGATAGAATGGTTACTTATAACAGTGTAAAAAAAAAATCCTGATCACCTCCCCAGAGTAGTACAGTGTTACTATTAAGACGTTACTATTTTTTTCAGCAGCAACGTGGAGTGGCAGTCTATTTTTTTCTGCAGAGGTCTATTGTTGCTTGGGGGGGCTTAGGTTGCTGGGGTCCATTGTTGCTAGAAGGGATCTACTGTTGAAGGAGGGGTCTATTGATGCTGGCTGCTGGAGAGTCCATTGATGCTGGCTGCTTGGAGATCTATTGTTGCTGGGCTGGTGTTTTCTTGTGGGATGGGGGGTCTATTGCTGCTGGGGGAGATCTATTTTACTGCTTTTCTTGTTATCATTGCCAAATTTCATACAGCCTACTTACCACCACAAAATGATACTTTGGTTCTATATTCTCTAAAAGGGGTGGTACTGGGGGGTGGGTAAGAGGTGGAACCAAGGGTTCGTCCTCGGAGGTGGGTAGGGGCGGAGACAAGAGGTGGCTCAGAAGGGGGAGGAGTTCCTATTATCTGAGGAAAAAAACCCTGGTTACTATGATGGGACAGTATTGCTCTGGTCACAGCATATTTTAAAAAATACTGAAAAAAAAGGAAAAATTCAAAATGATTCAAAATACATACATACATCGGCAAGTGCATGAGTCTTCCCATGCCACACTGCATAGTGCCACAGCCCCATGCAGTTTGGTTTGGGACAATTTAAAAAATAGTCAGGAATTTATTTCCCTTTTTTTTGTAGGTAGGGCAGCCCATTGAAATAAATGGGCTGCCCTACAGGTGGGAATGCATGCAAAAACTGCGCAGAACTGCACATGCTAGGCTGCACTGTATTGGTGTAAACCTGGCCTGAGAGTAAGCATTGGCTGATATATTATGTACCCTATATTGCCAAAAGTGTTGGGATGCAGGCCAATCAAGTTCCTCCACCCCAAACTCTCGCTCCTCCATGTCTTTATGGACCTTGCTTTGTGCACTTGTGGGCAGTCATGTAGAAACAGGACGGAGCCATCCCCAAACTCTTCCCACAAAGTTGGGAGCATGAAATTGTCCAAAATGTCGCCTTAAGAGTTCCCTTCACTGGAACTAGGGGGCCAAGCCCAACCCCTGCAAAACAACCCCACACCATAAACCCCCTCCACCAAACTTTACACTTGGCACAATGCAGTCAGGCAAGTACTGTTCTCCTGGCCACCACGAAACCCAGACACGTCCAACAGAGAGAAGCGTGATTGGTCCCTCCAGAGAACACGTCTCCTCTGCTCTAGAGTCCAGTGGTGGCATGCTTTACACCACGGCATCCGACGCTTTGCATTGCACTTGGTGATGTAAGGCTTGGATGCAGCTGCTCAGCCATGGAAAGCCATTCCATGAAGCTCTCTACGCACTGTTGTTGTGCTCATCTGAAGGCCACACCAAGTTTGGAGGTCTTTAGCTGTTGACTCTGCAGACAGTTGGTGACTTCTTTGCTTCAGCATGCGCTGACCCCATGTGACGTGGCCTACCACTTGGTGGCTGAGTTGCTGTTGTTCCCAGTTGCTTCCACTTTGTTATAATCCCACTAACAGTTGAGCGTGGAATATTTAGTAGCCAGGAAATGTCACAGATGGACATATTGCACAGGTGAGAACCTATATCACGGGACCACGCTTGGAGTCAATGAGCTCCTGAGAGTGACCAATTCTTTCACCAATGTTTGTAGAAGCAGTCTGCATGCCTAGGGGCTTGATTGTATACACCTGTGTCCATGGAGGGGATTGGAACACCTGAATCACATGACTTGGAGGGTGGGGAAAATACTTTTGGAAGTGCAGTGTGTGTTTTATCTTGGGTGGATAAAGTGTGCTAAGGATTATATTTTCCCCCAACTACAATAGGTTCATCATATAAAATAATCAAGAAGAAAGCACAGCATATGTGACATTTTTATTTTTATCAGACATTTAGCATTCAGCCAAATGATATTCCACATCAGATTTCCAATTCAAGCTTCAACATTCTCCAGTAAGTTTACATTTGAACTTGTCCAGCATAGTCGTGCCCACATTCTTCACTGCATTCTTGAACGTATCCATGAAACCTCTTTTTACTTCTTCCTCTCTTACCTCCCCTTCATCATCATCATCACCTCTCCTAGGGGAAGACACAGGGGGGTTGATTTACTAAAACTGGAGGGTGCAAAATCTGGTGCAGCTTCTGCATAGAAACCAATCATCTTTCAAGTTTTATTGTCAAAACTTTATTGAACAAACTGAAGTTAGAAGCCGATTGGCTGCCAATGCCATGCACAGACGCACCAGATTCTGAATTTTCCAGTTTTAGTAAATCTCACAGTTATCATGACATAAAACAACATAATTACACAAAATCTGTATTTTGCAGGGGACCAAAAATGCATATTTTTGAGATACAGCGACCACATTAGCCACTTGCCCTCCAGAAGATTTAGCCCCCCCCCCCTTGACCAGGCCATTTTTGCTCTTCCGCACTGCACTACTTTAACCGGTAATTGCGCAATCATGCAGCACTGTACCCAAACGAAATTTATGTACTTTTTTTTACACAATTGGAGCTTTCTTTTTGTGGCATTTTATCACCACTGGAGCTTTTATTTTTTGTGATATAAACAAAAAAAAAGGCTGACATTTTTGGAAAAAAAAGTATTTTTTATAACCGAAAGTAGAAAATATCCAATAAACTCAAAGTTAGTCATATATTTAGGCTAAAATGTATTCTGCTACATGTCTTTGGTGAAAAAAAAAATCCCAATACATGTATTTCAGTTTGTGTGAAAGTTATAGCATCTACAAACTATGTTATATACAGTGCCATGAAAAAGTCTTCACACCCCTAGAATTTTCCACATTTTGTCATGTTGCAACCAAAAACGTAAATGTATTTTATTGGGATTTGATGTGATAGACCAACACAAAGTGACACATGATTTTGAAGTGGAAGTAAAATGATAAATGGTTTTCAAAGTTTTATTGCAAA